AAATATTATTAATTCAGGCACCAAAAAAAAAAAAGATTGGGACAAGAAGTATAATTTTAATTTCAACACAATATCACAATATCAATGGCTGAACTCCTTTTCATGACTATAATAAATTCTCTAAAATACTACTAAAAAACAACAGTACTTTCTAAATGATATCCATGCAAGTATTTTTCTCCTTTCCCTATAAAGGTTCGGAGTCTTGACTCGGAAAAAAAAAAAAAAATGCTGGTCACCATAAACTTATTGACTTTTCCTTAACTCAGAAGATCATCCAAGGAGAAACTTCTTTTCAAGAATTTAACTTCACCTTCAATCTCCTCCTCTTGATTAATTAGCACAGTGGATTTTGGGAACTTCTGCTTGACATTCAATCTTCGCAATTTAAGTTTCAAAGCCCTTTTCGTATTTATTATATGTTCTCTTTTCCACAGGTCTTCAACATCTCGAACTTCCGACAAGTCCCTAAAAGATTTCGACTTCCCACCATAAGATTTTGAGAGCCCCCTAAAGGAAAATTGAACGAAAAAAATACAAAACTTGGATTAATCCACGTTGATAATAAAAAATACATACAAGACAACTGTTGATATAAAAGAGAGAGAGAGAAAGATGTTACATGAGGGGAAGAGCCTCCTCTGTTGAAGCCAAATAATTGGCAAAGTTAATGGCCATGTTTGAGCCTTGATAGCCTTTGGGAAGTTCTTGAGGTTATTCGAGGGTTCTTTCTTCTCTTCCATCTAATTTATTCGCATTCATATGGTGAAGAAAATGGAATGTACGGTGTGAAACCAAAAGTTTAGGAACCTATGAAGGTCGTACCCATTATACTTTGGAAAGAATGATAAAAAAGAAAGCCCTGGGAACAAGAGATTTTTTCTTACTATAAATTGTATGTCGAGACAATGACGGGTTTGCATTGCCTAGAGGAAAAAAAGTATGAATGAATTTAGGAAGAAAATTAACTTGCTCAAAATGTGAAAGCTACAAAATAAAGAAATTCGACATTTAGTTTCCTTTGAACACTAGATTCAACCGACTTTAATTTGCAACATGCACTAACAGGAATATGGACACTTTATACCAAATAGTTATGTGGATTTTTATAATGGGGTACCCATTAATATAGTTAATTAACACTTCAGATACCACATGATTATACCTAATCATAATTTTGATACCCCTGCATTTAGATATTTTTTTCAAAATGGTTAACGCTTGAAACTCTGTGCCCAATGAATACCAGTAAGCAAACTGTGATTTTATTAATCGATATAACTGGAATATTAATTATGGTAAACTAGATTGGATTAGTGAGACCTTTTTTTTTCTTTTTGTATAAACTTCTCGATCTCCAGTAACCATATTGGCCCCAACTAATTAGGAATTGAGCAATGTCGAACCCTTTTGGGGTGGCTCTCCCAACTGGATTAATGAGATGATGCTCGTCGTTTGGCAACAAGATACACATTATTATTTGATTCGTATCACTCACGAAATAAATTACCGTCGAAGTTCATCCCCACTGAATATGGGGTTTGAGTAATTAACTTTGTTTGCTTGGGCCTAGTTGGATGGCACAACGCAATCTGTTTAATTCAAGCATCTGATTGCATACTCTGCAAACATGCTCCACTTATATTTCATAAGATTACAAGAAGCCCCACTTTTGAGTTCACGTACACAAAGCATAATTAGAACTGGTGCTCCATGTTGGAGTATTTTAATAAAATAGTTAAATTCTCAATTAAAGGTGTCAGTTACAAGGAAAATAGATTGGTAAAATTTTCCGCAATTTATAGGTGTTTGAATGGTTTTGAATAAAGATTTATTATATGAAATTATGGCTTTTCAATTACCATAAATTTTTGTAACCCACAATACAAATTTGAATGTGTTTTGAATGATCAATAATTTCAACATTTACTTGGTGTCTTATTAGTAGTGTAAGTTATCTTTGTCTAACTTTTCTTCACCTATAAGTATGCATATTTGAGATGGAAAAATACTACCACTACAGCTTATGTTTTGTGAGTTTAAATTCACTATTGTCTACCTCATACTTAGGCAAGAAAAAAGGTGTTTGTAAAGCTATACTCTCCTAGTTGTGCAGTCTAGAGAGAGTGTTAGTAAGTGTGGTTGGGCTATTGTATCCTGGGGGTGACAAGTTAGAGAACCTGCTACACCAGAATAGATTTTTCCGCAGAGGCTTGAATCACCTTAAAGAAACACTACTACAAAAAGCACCTTTAGTGACACACTTAATATGACATTTTCCTAAAAGTGTCACAACAGCAAGTTAATGTAACATGCAGTAAGGAACGTCATTAAAATGACAAAGAAAATGACGAGTACAACATCATATCACTCTAACTTATCCAAATAGAAGTAAAAAATGAAAACCAAAAGTGGGAAAGAGAATGGCGCTACACTTCAGGCGCCATTTTTTTGGGGGAAATATTCTAACTACTCCAATGAATCCAACGTACTTTACTCTTTGTTCATCCCAGTGCTCTCTCCTAAAACCCTCAATCAAATAAACTCTCTGTAAAAAACCTAAATCCTTCACCCCTCTCACCACCGAATCCCTTGTTTCTTTCTCTTTCTTCCACCCGATTTTTAACTCTCTCCAATTTGAAGACAAACAGGTAAACCTTTAAGAATGTAGCATAATCAACAACAGCATGGAGTTTTTAGCATGGAGTTTGAACGGGAATTGGTATCTGGGTTTTTAGCAACAGTGGAGCTACGGTGTTCATTGAAAATCGCCATCTGAAGGAAGATTACTACCAGGTAACCTATACATTTTCAACAAAATTGATAGCTTTTTTTATTACTTTATTTCTTTTCCAGGAACGCATGGGAAATGGGGTAGGAGCAAGGTGGGTGACGGAGGGATAAGGATTTGGGGAAGACGAAATGGCAGGAAGAGTAGATGTGGATGGGAATCCGATAAAGCCGATGACAATTTGCATGATTGGCCTTTCGCCTTGAAGAATTCTTTCGCCTTTCGTCTGATAACCAGCAAAACAGAGACCACCTAATGGGGTTCTCCATTTCGTTACCTCCCTTTTGTTTCGAAATTTTTTGATCCTTCAACTCACTGAAATTAGAAAAAAAAAAGCAATTAATTGAGAGATTGATCTATGCTAAAGGGGCTCAAAGTAAACTATACACACTCTTCGTGCTCTCCGCCACTTCGTTCCTTTCCCAATTTTCTTTCCTTCTCTTCCTCTCTTCAAATCCATTTTTCTCTCTTGATCCAGCCATGGCCTCAATTACAGGATCCTTCACCTCCCTCTCTTGCTCACTCATGCCTAACCAGGCAGTCAATAGGGTCTCTAAATTGGGGGGTTCGGTGTCGCTCTCTATCAGTGGAAAAAGTTTCCCTTCTCTACACGTGCAGCCGGCTCGCTTCCGTGTGTCCTGCGCAGCCAAACCAGAGACAGTGGACAAAGTATGTAAGATTGTGAGGAAGCAGCTGGCTCTGGCTGATGAATCTGAAGTTGCTGGACATTCAAAATTTGCATCTTTGGGTGCTGATTCTCTTGACACTGTTGGGTGCTGTTAAAAATTTCCATTGTTAGTTTAACTGGATTGGTCCCAGAATAGATTTCATACCTGGAATTGATGGGCCCAGTGAATGGACGGACCAAGGAATGAATGCAAAGAAGAGGATTTACCTATGAAATAGCTGAAATTTGCCCAGCTTATATGGGGTCAATAAACAAATTGGTTGCTGAGATTGTTCCTTCTCTTGCCCATGTTCCACCTTTCCCATTACTAGATTTTTTTTTTATTAATGCAACTAATGAACCAAAACTTTTTTTTTTCTTGTGCTCATAAGTTATAAGAACTAGCGATACAGAGAAGTTTAACACAGTAGCATCAGGTTTCAGTTATTTATATAGTTGAAGCATAGGTCACGCGTGATGCCAAGATTTGCATATGATGGCCAAAATGAAGTCTAGTTTGACCATTCTTGCATTTTATAGAGTTCAATTTCCTTCCCCTTTCATGCGTAATAGTAATATTGAAAAATTGAAAAAGTTGGTCTGCGTACTAGACATTAGAAACTTCTTTTTACTCAATAAGCTTCATATCTGATGATAAATGACTCATAACTGCTCCATAATTTTTTGACGTAAATGTTTTTTTCTTTTTTTGAGTACTGACATCTCTTCTGCTTAATGCATACCACAACTATACGGGATCATGTTGTATCATTTTGTTCTACCTCTTCAGGCTTCATTTTCATAATATAATATTCTTTTTGTGACTAAAAAAAAGCGGTTACTAAGTCAAGCTTATTCCATCAATGCAGTTTCAAGTTTGTAGCGGCCATCATCTTCGATTCCATCTAGCGAGCACGGATCATTGATTCCCTTTCCACTTTGAGCAAATTGGAGTAGAAGGTAACCAAAATTATACATTAAGTTTCTGCTACTCTTAGGTTACCAATACATTAAAGTTTGTGGCAGTTATTGTTAATTGGGTAGAACTTCTATTGCTGATTGGTTTGGTTGCTAATATTTTGTCAAAGTTCTCTATCTCAAATTGATATTGGCTACATTATTGGACTAATTTTGAATTCCGTAGACTGTTATTCTTTTGTGCCTACCATCTTGTTTTATAGTTTGTGTGTTACAATCTGGAATTGAACTTTTGCTGTCTTTCCTTTTGATATTATTCTGTTTTGATACTTTTGGATTAGTTCTTATTACTCAAATGTCTAGAACACCTGGATATGTGAACATTCTGTTCTGATATGTCTAGAACACTTGGATTGGTGCTAACATTCTGTTTTGATACTTTTGGTATCTTTACTTTAGAAGATATTTCGTGAGTGATTTGTGTCCTCTATTAATCTCATTGAAATTAGTTTTCTTATCTAAGTAAATATTTTATGGAAAAATCAGTAATAGTTTAGGTAGAACTATCTTGTAGATGCTAATGAAGCTTTTTTTTTTTTTTTTATAATTAGAATCTATGTGAACATGGATAAAAGATGGATGAGTATGTCACGATCAAGTGATGAGTATAAAGCTAGTTTAGAAGATTTTCTTGATTTTGCATTTACGAATGGAAGTATAGGGGAGATGATTTTATGCCCATGCGTTAGGTGTGGGAATGGGGTATTTGTCACGAGAGAGCAGGCCAAATCACACTTGATATGGAAAGAATTTATTAAGGGATATACTCAATGGTTAGCTCATGGAGAGCTATCTTTGAATTTGCATCATACATCTTCACATGGCTCATCAAATGAAGTTCCACCACTCAATCCCATAGATGATATGCAGGGGTTGTTACAAGATGCAGTAGGAGTTCTAAACCAGAACCTAGATGTGGGAGAAAGATTAGAAACAGAACAGCCGAATATTGAGGCAGAAAAATTCTGCAATTTAATAAATGTTTCGAAGCAGCCCCTTTATCCAGATTGCCCGCAATTCTCTAAACTATCTTTTCTGGTCCGCTTGTTACATATTAAACGTCTCAGCAAAATGCCCGATTCTATATTTAATACACTTCTTGATTTGTTGGGGCAAGCGCTCCCAGAAGGTGTAAATCTACCCAATTCTTATTATGAAGCAAAAAAAATTATGAAAGAACTAGGACTTGGATATGAAAAATATGATGCATGTCCTAATGATTGCACATTGTATTGGGGAAAAGATGAATCAAAGATAAAATGTGACACTTGTAAGCATCTACGGTGGGAAGGAACAAAGGATGATCCTACTGGTGAAAAAAGAAAGGTTTCCCACAAGGTTTTGTGGCACTTTCCGCTTAAACCCAGATTGCAGCGTCTGTTCATGTCATCTAAAACAGCCTCTTTCATGAAATGGCATGTCGAGGGTCGTACTAAGGATGGTCGCATGAGACATCCTACAGATACTCTGGTTTGGCAATCATTTGATTACCAAAATCCCGAATTTGCAAAAGATCCTCGTAATGTCAGATTGGGTTTAGCTTCTGATGGGTTTAATCCATTTAAATCTATGAATGTGAACCATAGTACATGGCTGGTAGTACTGATGCCTTATAATTTGCCACCATGGATGTGCATGAAACAGCCATACTTTATGTTGTCACTACTCATTCCTGGCCCGTATGCACCTGGGAATAACATTGATGTTTACCTTCAACCTCTTATAGCTGAGTTGAAGGAATTGTGGGATGTAGGTATGACTACTTATAATGCATCATCAAAGGAAAATTTTTAGATGCATGCTGCTTTACTTTGGACCATTAGTGATTTTCCTGGTTATGCTAATTTATCTGGTTAGAGTACTAAAGGTTATTTAGCATGTCCAGTATTTCATAAGCACACCGTTTCACGCCATTTAAGACATGGTTCAAAACAATGTTACATGGGTCATCGGCAATTTCTGGAAAAGGAGCTTCCATATCGAAAAGATAAACGTCACTTTGATGGAAAGGAAGAACATGGAGTTGCACCACCTCGCTTGACAGGTGATATGATCTTGGAGGAGTTGAGGTCTTATAAAATCAAAATTGGGAAAGCAGTCAATGATAACCCTGAATTACCCTTTAACTGGAAGAAACAAAGCATTTTTTTTGACTTGCCATATTGGAAGAACAATTTGTTACGTCATTGTCTTGATGTCATGCATATTGAAAAAAATGTATGTGAGACAATAGTTAGAACATTATTGAATGTGGATGGCAAGTATGATAACCTTGGTGTACGGCGTGATTTGGAAGAAATAGGCATACGAGCAGGTCTTCATCCCATTACAGATGAGTTTGGGAGAGCATACTTGCCTCCAACATGTTTCTATTTCGATAAGAAGGAGAAAGAGTTATTCTGTAAAATTCTGAAAAAGGTTAAAGTACCGGATGGTTATTCAGCCACAATTTCGAAGTCCGTGCATTTGAAACCTCCCAAATTAACCGGACTTAAGAGTCATGACAATCACATATTATTGCAACAACTGTTACCACTCTGTTATAGAAAACTTCTTCCAAAATCGGTGCGGTCTCCGTTGATAAAGTTGTCCAAATACTTTAGAGATTTATGTTGTAAAGCTCTTTGTCCTCGGGAACTGCTTCGTATGGAAAAGGAAATTGCTGTTGTACTATGCCAGTTAGAGCGCGTGTTTCCACCATCTTTTTTTGTTATAATGGTGCATTTGACCACTCATTTAGCAACTGAAGCAAGGATAGCTGGTCCAGTACATTATCGTTGGATGTAGCCGATTGAAAGGTAACTTTTATAACTTTATAATTTCTATTTTATTGCTATGTGAGTATCATCATTAATCACTTACTACATTTGTAATTGTCTTAGGTACCTATGCACTTCGAAAAATTAAATCCGAAATAGAAGTCGGCCTGAAGGTTCAATTGCAGAGGGGTACCTAGTTGATGAGTGCTTGACATTTTGCTCTCTCTACTTATCTGATAAAGTGACAACTAAGTTCAATCGATCAAGTAGAAATGAAGATGGAGGTGAAAGTTCAACTGAAGGACTTGAGATTTTTTCTATACAAGGTCGGCCATTAGGAAAAGGAACTTTAGTTGTAATGGATGATGAAACCATAAAAAAGGCACATCAATATGTGATATTCAATTGTGAAGCCGTGGATCCATATATCAAGTAAGTAATTGTACTCTATACTTGTTTTATAAAACTAATCATCTTTTAATAATGATGGATGTATATAGACAACTATGTTGATTGACTATTATAATTGATGAAGCCAACATCGTAAATTGGTTGAAGAGCAGCATTTGCGTAGTTCAAAACATGAAAAAGAGCGGATTCATAGTGAGACATTTACAAATTGGTTTGACAACCATGTGAGTTAATATACAAAGTATCACTGTACTTTTAGCTGTTCAAATTCTGTACAATTATTTTATTAATTTACTTTTTTATTTTGCATAGGTGGATGATTTTCTACCTGAGAACAAAGTTATCTCAAAAGATTTGAGATTATTGGCCAAGGGTCCAAATGTTGTGGGTTCGAAGTATGAGAGATACATTGTGAATGGTTTTAGATTTCATACAAAATATTTGGAGAGCAAAAGAAAAAATCAAAATAGTGGGGTGATTGTTACTGCAATAACATCAAGTTTCGCAAGCACCAAGGATATGAATCCGGTTTCAAGTGACTTGGCCTATTATGGTGTCTTAAAGGATATTCTGGAATTGGACTATGGTGGAGGTCGAAGAGTGGTTTTGTTTGACTGTGATTGGGTTTCTAAGGGGAAACGATTGAAACAAGATGATGATGGGTTTACACTTGTGAATTTTATGAATGTGAAGCGCCACCATGAACCCTTTGTTCTTGCATCTCAAGTGAAAGAAGTATTTTACGTGGAGGATCCTTTGGATAAGGGGTGGAATGTTGTTATTCCAATTGCACCACGAGATGATTTGAAGATGGATCCCATAGATGTTGAGATGTACTTGCAAAGTCAGCCTTCAAGTAGTCATCAAAGAGATACATTTGATGATATTAATTGGGTTCGAGAAGGTGTCATAGGAGAAATAGTTGATACTACTAGACTAGCATTTAGTTCCAAAGGATGATCTTTTGGTATCTTATATAAATTAAATGAATGTTATCTTTTGATTTTGCTTTAATGTCCAGTAAATTCGGTTGCTTTTTATGCATTGAATTGTGGTGTATCTACATGCTTAAATTTTTTATGCTTTGCTATTTATTACATGTTAATATGCTATTAGCTGTACACTTTCTGTTATGAATTTAAAATTGTAGTTGCACAAATATGGCGAGAACAAGAAGACGAAAAAGCTATCGAGGATCAAGGAGCTTTCAATTGCGTGATGAAGATCCTGAAAATTTGGAAAATGAGGAAGGCACCGGTATGTTATTAATTACTAATTACTTAATATTTCAGTTAGATATAATCTATAACAATAGTTTCTATTTCATAAGATATGTCATAATTGTCTATTATACTTGCAGCTGGTGGTTCTGATGATGATCAGGAGCCTAAGAAAACTCGGGGACCAACTTATATGAGACACATTTGGGGTAGACATGGTACTGACAAGCGAATTAAAGTGAAATTCAATACACTTGGTTAGCCAGTTGGTACAAATAGAAGCAAATTCAATGAATTTTTGGGAGCATTGGCAAGAATTGAAAAATATGCACCAATTGACATTGATAGTTGGCGTAAAGTTTCCAAGTCCTTAAAGAATGACATGATAGATGTCGTAAAGGTACCCATTTCTTGAACCTACTACATTAGTTGAATGCTTGTTCTCTTTTAATTGAGTGTTCAATATTACAGGAAAAATTTGATCTCTCTGTTGGCATGGAAGAACGAGTTAAGCAATCAGTAGGAAAGAAATGGAGAAGCTGGAAACATGCTCTCAAGAAAACTTATTTCAATCCAAATGAGTCAATTGAAAGTCAAGTGCTTAAAAGACCAAAACGAATTCTTCCACAGCAATGGAGAAATATTTTGGCTAAATGGCTTTCCGAAGAGTCAAAGGTATGAAATGCTCTCATAGTCGTGATCATTTTTTCTGTTTGCCTATACTTAACTATTTTTTATTATGTTTAACTATGTAGAGAATATCTGCAACAAATAAGAAGCACCGAGAGAAGAAAAAGATGAATCATAGTACAAGGAAAAAGCCATTTGCTCAAGTTCGAGTAGAAAAGGTATAATATATAAATTGATAACAACATCTAATTTTTCATTCTGATATATTCTTGGGATGTACTATTATATGTAGGAAAAAGAGGTTGGGCATTCTCTCTCTAGAGCAGATATGTTCACCATATGCTACACTAATTCTAATGGGGTGCCATCTAGTTATGAAGTTGGGGAAAAAATGGTATGTTGTTGCTGCTTATGCACTTCATTCATAACAGGTTTTTTCTGTTACGATAAGAACGAGAATGTAGTAACTTTGAATTGTTAATTTTAGGAGGAGATAGAAAGCTTAAAAAATCAACTTCCAGAAGGAGAAGAAGATAGTGTGGGTAGGAATGACGTGTATGCAAAAGTAATGGATGAAGAAAGGAGTGGAAGAGTTCGTACATATGGTTTAGGAGTTACACAATCTGATTTGTGGGGCGATATACCAAGTCGTTTAACATGTTTTCGCTTGGTTATGGAACAAAGTGCTGCGATGTCAAAAATGGAGCGAAGAATTCAGCAACTAGAATCAATTTAACAAGGAAGATCACAAGGACAAATTTCGCCATCTTCGCAGAGACATACTTCACAGTCATCAAATGCTATTTCTCGGCCAATACAAGTAATAAACAGTTCAATTATGATCTTCTTTAGATGCTGCGTTCACAAATGGTTTTCATGAATATGTTTGTAATTGCTATATGTTAATTGTTGAGATTCTTATTTTGGATATCATTATTGATTGTAATGGACTGCACTTTGGTTTTGGTACTTGTTGTGGCTGTCATTTTGGGTTGGTTCTTGTGGTACTGTGTATTGAATATCTGTTCAAGACTTGCTCTCTTATATGTGGTTATATGTTTTATAAAATTTGTTTTCAAGGTTGGGGATAAAGTTACAATAAGAAGCATGGTTGATTCATCCAAAATTTGTGCTGTTGGAGTGGTTAGAAATTTGGATCCGACTGTTGAAGTTGGTGACATACCTTTGGGATCACATTGGTGTGAAGTTCATGTGAATGTGCTTGTGGAGAATGATGAAGAGCTAATGAGGCCATACCATAATTTTCTCAAGATTGGAGTAGCGATTGCTTGGCCAATAAACCTGGTAATCTTTTTATCTTATCTTTATCATTTGGTTAACTTAGTTTTTATTTATTTTCTAACATTAAAACTGTAAAAGAAGAGCTGTAGATATGATTGTAACTTTTATTTCTTGGTTTATGATACTTGTAGGTGATTTTTGAAGAAAACTAAAGGATCGTCCTTGGGTCAAATGGCTATTTTTTGAAGACATTGTCAATGTGTTTTTTGTTGAGTTCTTGTTGAACTATTGCTGTGACGCCCCCACTTCTCCCTAAAGCGAACCAAAGGGTATCCGCGGGACGCTTGCCTAGCTCTCGCCAGGACTCAAGCAATTCCATTTAAACTTATTGCCGGACCACACCAAACGAGTCAATAACTTAGATACAATAAATGCGGAAGCGTTCAAGTTTAATAAAAAGTCATCCGATATCCAACCTGCACATCGGGTGTTCAACAACCATCATATATCCCAAATATACATCATGCTCCAA